TTGCCATGCTTTCGGCGTAGCTCCTTCGAGAATGACGGAATTGAATAGTTTCTGGAGGACTAAAAGTATCGGTTTTCCACCCGCTCGCAGAAGTTCTGTTGTGATTCCGTCATCACCCGGTGCCTTGTTATTTTTGAGCTGTCTGAGAGCCATCCTAATCTCATACAGGCTGATGTCTGGGATATCCTCGGTATAGTGCCGTGTCAGTTTAGCTCTTGGATCCCGAGCTGTACCGACAATGGGTTGCCGTGTCGAGGTGTATAACTGTCCGTAGAACCTTTCAAGCTCTCTCAGAATCTCTGGCTTCGACGAAACGATGCTGCCATTTTCGGTCTTCAGTTTCGTCATTTGGCTTTGCCCAACCGACGAACTCCTTGCGAATACTTTTGCACCCTGATTTCGCTCTATGGCATCCCTGACTCGTGCGGCGTTATATGCACGCAGGTCGCGTCGCATAGACTTTGAAATTCGCCTATTAAGTTTGCCATATCCAGACATGTCAACTGAAGACTGCAGCCTCATCTCGTGACGGTCTTTCAATAATTTCAGTGTTTCTTTCGAGAGCTTTTGAGGTCTATTTCGGCGTGGGTTTTTGAAAAACTCTGAGCCCACCGCTTGGACAGTTTCCACTAACCCATTATTTAACTCGTCAATCGTTTCACACTCAGCCAGGCACTGGAAGCGATTATGCAGTTGGAGCTGGAACTGTTCGGGGTTCTGGACCTGGGCGCGACCAGGACGGAGTGTGGACCCCACCAGGCGTGACCTCTCCAGCTTGACATTGATATTCAGTGTGCCTCTGACAATACGGTGATCGCTGCCGGTTTTCACCTTAGCTATCACAGAGACATCACTAAATATGCGCTTGTCGGTCGCCATGATGAAGTCGATCTCATTTTTGGTGTAACCATCGGGGCTTATCCACGTCCACCTCTTAGCTGGTCGCTTTCGGAAGAAGGAGTTCATTAGAAAGAGTCTCTCCCTCTCCATAAAGTCGACCAGCCGCTGGCCCCGACGGTTTCGCTGCCCATACCCAAATGGCCCCATTCTCAGCTCTTCGCCGTTCCGTGTGCCCACCTTCGCGTTGAAATCCCCCATGACAACGGTGAAGTGAGCTTCGGAGGTGTGTATGGCTTGGGAAATTTCCTCATACAGAGCCTCTACTTCATCATCGCAGTGTGTCGAGGTCGGCGCATATACCTGTATGACCTTCAGCGAATACCGGTGTGATATTCTGAGTATAAGGTACGCTACCCTGCTCGACACACTGTCAACTTTACTCACGTTGTTGACGAGGGACTTGCGGACGAGAAATCCGACACCACCCTGGGATTTTTGATCTCCTTCCCGGAAGAAGAGCAAGTTGCCGGAATCCAGGACCATCGTATCCTGGCCCTCTCTTCGGATTTCAGACAGTCCCAAGATGTCCCAACGCATTTTGCTCAATTCTTCCTCCAGCTCGACAATCTTCTCATCGGTCCGCAGTGTGCGGATGTTATGTGTTGCCAGGGCCAAAGTTCGTCGGGGGTGGTAGCGGTTCATCTGCCGGGGATTCTTAGCACCCCCTGCTCCGCCGTTACCCGATCCGCTACCAAGATCAGGGATAGCGGAGCTGCCGGGGACTGGGGGCCGTGTATTTAGGTTGCCGTTCATAGTGAGGGGGGGGGGGTTTGCCATAATCCCCACGCTTGGCAGGCGGCTTGGGGATCGCAGTTAGGTCACCGATATATTTATGGAATGCTGCAGCCCATTCCTCGGTGTCTGGTCGCAGTTTTAGGACGTACCCGGGTCCAAATACTAAAGCCTGAATACTGAAAGGCTAATCAATTTTAAGTTTTACATAAATATCGCGATATCTGTGTCATTTTACAAAGGCTTTGTAGTGGCAGTACTATACCTAACCGCGGCTTAAAATTGAGTTGTGTTTGAGTATTTCGGAGTTAGAAGGGCAGAATTAACAGACACACTTAACCGCTTGAATGCCCGTATATGAGACACAATAGAAAATACATTGTCTCGCGTGGATCCACGTTAAGACACACGACGGGTTAAAACCTACCATAAACATATTAAACGCCAATTGCAAAGGCGTTACCATATCGAGGATCATTTTGAACAATTCCTTCACAAATCCACTTTTAAAAAATCAAACTGTCACTGCACATTTGTAACAAAAAACCCAGAGAACAAAATACTGAGATAAACAGTTTTCCCGATAGAATGGCTTGTATTGATGTGACATTTATCCACAATACTTATCCGAGCGATAGTTCCATATATCTATTTTATTTACGAGATAAAAATCAAGATTATGTTGCGGGGAGATTGTGGTAACATGTGATAACTCTGTTGGTCATATAAATCTAGTATGGAGTGTGTAGGGTTACAGGTAGAATGGGACAGTAAAAAATAAAAAATATATTTATTGAATTTCCTAATATTCCGTAGTTATTGACAGTCGTACTGTACATGTAAAAATGTAACAATAAGAGCATCCTATATTCAGATAATCATAAGAGGTAGGTACTATCATAATCTATCATCATGGGGTGAACATCGACTGTTTCTATAGTAGGTAACTATACCGACTTTCCACATTTTTTCCCTTTTTAAACAAAAAAAAAAAAAAAAATATTATTCAGTTTTATGCAGTCGTTTAATTAACGAGTTAAAGAAATATTTCAACCATTCATTTTTATAGGTAAATTGATAATGGAGCCTCAATCTTAGGTAAGTAGTACTCAAAACTGGTATATCTAAAACAAGAAAATATTCTAGGTTCAAAGAAAATACTCATAAAATGCAGTCTATCTTCCTAGGCTTCACACACGCTCGGTACCCCCTTTAAAATGTCGCCATGTCGTCATGTCACCAGTGTCGGCGCCAACTCGCCGGCAACCGACTCGTGTGAAAGGGCAATTTGTACTTATTTCTTTAAAGCCTCAACCCTCGGCTCAAAAGCGGTGCAATGACGTCACACGACAGGGCACGCAAAGCGGATTAAAACCATAGACGCGACATTTTTCTTCTGAAAGTATTTTATGGTATTTGGTTAGAAATACAGGTACATTGGTTTATGTGAATTAGTTGTACATAAATGTTATTGATGGGATAATCGGTTCCGTTACTATAAAAAATGTCTTAATTCATTTGTCAAAAATTCAAACACGCTCAAAAGAAAGGCATGCAAAAAACTACATAGAAAGAAAATTAATTTAATATAAAATTCATATTGTATGTAAGTAGGTATATCAGAACTAAGTACGAACCATATCTTAAAAATATTTAAGTGTATTGTAGTTTATTAAGGTGCAGAACTCCCGACACATTACCTACACACATAGCGGCATGCTGAGACATTCGGCAACGAAAAAAATACACGAAAAAAAAGTTTCTAATTAAACATTCTACCTCATTACTAAGGTTATCGGCTGCGTAGTCGACGGTGTCTTTGCTGAGGGAGCGGACTTTGTTCCTGAGGTTGTGTTTGTGCGTGTTATTATGTCGCAGCTTGCGCACCGCCTTCGTCCGGCTCTGGGAGTACAGCTCGCGACCTCCTGCGATTTCTATGATCCTGGTAACGAGAGAATGGGTTATAAGTAAGACACCAAAAAACAGTGGTATACTGTTCGATTGTGTCTAGAGGTATAATATAACAATTTGATCTACCAATTCGTAGACCAAATTAGAATCGGTAGACCAAATTATCAGCTTAGTATCTTTATTTATTAAACTTTATTGCACATACAGTGAAATTGGCGGACTTAATGCCGTAGGCATTTTCTGACAGTCGACCATTGGGTGGTGCAGAATGTTAAAGCGGTAGGTGCAAAATTATAAATAGAAAGTATGAAGTAGATAACGAAGTTAAGGTAATAAAATATCAAAGTGGGAAGACATGATTGTTATATCGATAACATTAAACTTTATCTTGTCTTAACTCGTTGAGTACCATTATTATAAAGTTTAATTCAAGCAAAACAATTATGTGCTAAGTCCGGTATAAAACTAGATATATGATAATTTAGAGGTATTATCTGTTTGGTCCCAGAAATCAATCTCGTACTACGTTAGTCCAAGCCAAGATTGGTTGAATTTCTATGATTTTTTTTTCAAAGTTAGTTCGACATTCTAAGTAAACCTCATCAATTAACGAAGTGCCTAATGTATGGACATGGATAAAGTTCAAATCTATAATTAGACACAAAACTTCTCAACTAGACCTAAATATCTCAACTCTCACTTAGATAAAGATCTTAAAACTATTCAAAGCGAAGAAGACAAAGGATTTCTTAGTACCACAATGTCACACACACGCCTACGTGACGAATACCTTGCTGTCATACTTCTATAAATAAATCCTTAACATAAGCATTACGTGGGCAAAAGGTGCCTTGTAGTGTAGCAAAATTTTTAATGGGGGTCTTAGAAAGACACTCACTCTCTTTCGACCAATTATCCCAATTCTATTTCTTTTGCCAAAATGGTGTATAAGAGAAGTGGTTTATGAAACAATTGCCTGCTAAGCATTCCTAGTTTCATTTATAGATCGATATCAGAGGGTTTAGTACGAGTTTCTTTTACGTTTAAAGTAATCGTAACGAGTACGCGTTCGGCGCTGTGATTGGCCGGTGCCAATGAACCAACCAATCATAGCGTCGAATGCGTTCTTGTTTCGATCACTTTTAAAGTAAAAGAAACTCATACTAAGCCCTCCGCTCTCGGATTGGCCGGCTCCAGTGAACAAACCAATGAGAGCGCCGAATCCGCTCTCGTTTCGATTACTTTAAAAAACTTTACTTGAAAAGAAAAAATGAGGCCCGTTACACTAGATTAGGCCATTAGTACCTAGGACTTATAACATAAATGGCGAATAGTTATAAGCATCTGCGTAGGTTACTAAGAATATTGAACATGACTTCACATGACGTCATTTAAATGAGCTATTACCTAGAATCCCTAAGTTTATAGGTGCCTCCTTTAGAGTTGAGTATGACAAGCTGGCTCTCGTTGCCTCGCTCCTCGTCAGACGAGGCGTTGTTCACATTGTTGGTGTCGCGATCGCGACCCTCCAAGCTGGAGGTCAACCTGAAATATTTCCACGAATACACTTTAACAGAACAATTTCATTCCACGAAGCACTCACAAATTGACAACAGATTCCGACTAAAAGTCTTTTTACAGCCATAATAGTACATCAACGTCACAATACAACTAACAAAATTAATATTTTTCGGAGAAACACCCTAAATAGCGTAAGTTTCATTCGTTTCAACAAAAAACAAAACACATTAAAAAATAAATTCAACGCTTCATTAAAAAAGTTGTCATTTAAAAGTTGATAAAACCATCCTTTGAATTGCGCATTTCTTTTGAAAGTACCTACTCGTTAAATTTTAAATAAAGGGCTAATTACGTTGCAAGATCAACATTGCAAAGCCTTTGCCCCTTCGGATGGAGTTGGTTGTATTTTAATGTGTTTGCACACGTAAGATGGCGGCAATCACAGTCTGTTTGTGAACGTAAAATGCTATAATTATCACTTAATGTGTATCTGTTTAACAGGGCTGTAAAAGGGTGGTCCATTACGTGTCCACAATAACTGTGGATGGATGTAAATTATGCAATTGCGGGATTTAATAGCATTATCATAAAACGCTGTTAAAATGTCCAGCGAAAAATCCTAGCAACATTTTATAAGTGAGTGGTTTAAACTATAGGAAATAGGAAACTTGGCTATAATTATCTGGACTAAAAGATGAATTTAAGTATTCTTTGTGATAACTGTGCAACGGAAATTTTTAGGGGAGGCCTGTGTTCAGCAGTGGGCTGATACAATGATAATGATGAACTGTGCAACTTCAGTACCAAATTCAGTTTATTCAGATGACATTTCTTATGTAACTTGAAGCTAGTCAATGTTTAAAATGGCAATGGTTTTGTTTGTAGAAGCATATCTTTGGAGTTTCGTAGCATAAGCATAATTCGCCAGTTATGTTTTTAGTCCCACGTACTAACGGACGATATGGCAAGTTTATGTCCTACTGTGTACAATGAAGCAAAAAAAGTGCCTTGCATTACCTTTCTAAAGTTACGACTCCAATGCGCTTAAAGGCAAGCCAATGGGTAAGGGTTAAATATCCTCAACGCCAGTCTATCAGTGTACTGAAGTTTAGTGGTTAACTATGGTAAACTAAGTTATTAAAGTTCAATGGTTAGTTAAGCTAAATTACCTGTCGTGTGCGTGCTGCATGTTCTTTGGGCGGCACTTGGGGAAGAGCCGCGTGATACGCTCGCCGACGTCCGAGCCGGGCGTGGAGTCGCCCGCGCCGTCCGCTCGGAGCGCGGCCGCGCTCATGTCGCCAGCACCGCCACGGTCACACCGCCACCGCCTCTACCGGCAATAGGTGCCGCTACGTTAGTTATTAGTACACAGACAAAATTAAATGAAACTACAAGTAAGTAGAAACAAACAAATACGAAGATACTTTATCCCAAAGCTCTAAAAAAGAAAGGAGATATTAACAACTTTGCTCTAAGACCATAAAACATGCTGATATACATTCCTTGTTCATACTTGTACATGAAGGGTTTCAAGTATTTACACAAAGATAGACAAAGATTCTAGACTAAGTAAGTTCTGCAATTCCAGATGAGTAACGAAAATGAAACGCTAAGGAGACTTCCAGCTGAGATGCAGTTGAAAAAGTTTCTATGATTATGTTATTAGCAAATTTCTTTCGAAGTGTCGTTTCAAAAATTAAAAAAAATACATTTAGAGCCGATTTTACAATGTACAATAAAATTGATTTTTAACAGTATGGATGAATGGTCAAATATTGAAAGTTAATCCTCAGTTAAAATTTATCTGTGCATTGAAAAATCGACCTTAAACAAAGTAAACTTGATAAATATTTATGTCAATCACATTAATGTATAAACCAGACGCGCTTTTGAATAATGTAATTACATTAGTTTTCGGGAGTGAAAATAACTGTACAGCACTCTGTAGTTAAGGGACGGTCAGCAAATTACATTATTCGATTTAATGAGTTCCGAACTGCATACGAATTCGAATCGTACATGTGTAACTAATTCTGACTGTTTGTTAAACTTTTAATGACTGTGATGCAGATGTCCATGCTGTTTTTGGACCTCAGAGAATATTTTATTAATGTTTTCCAGTATAAATTATAGAATTATCAAGGGGTTCTGAATAAGTCAAAACAAAAATGTTGACAATTCATTTTAAAAAACGTACAGTGGGTTAAGAATTAGTTTTACAGTAACATCACTATTTTTAAGAGGGTCCATTAACGTGTACTTCTTATCCAATTTCCTTATGCTACATTGTCTTAGAGAATACTTTAATGCACAACTATTTAGTTTCATTTTGTCTGGTTCCGTGCCAACCCTCGTAAATGTATCCCAATGTTATTTGACCGTTAGCAGTATCTATGTAAATCAAATACGGATCGCTTCTCCAATTTCTTTGAGCAAATGTAACCTCTTTGGAGTCGAGTTTATTGGTTGTAAATTTTACACTAGGCATTACCGGAGTGGAACACGGACAGAAATATGGAGAACGTGGAGTCTGGAACGGAAATATTCAAGAAGGTAGATTATTGGAATGGCGTAGCGTAGGTTGTGCATACAACACGGTTCAAATTCAGCTTCCGAACAGTAAATCGTAACCAAAATGAATCAGAATTCCAGTAACTCAAGCTGTGAAATATTACGCTTTATTGTGTAAAACCTTTCACAAAATGCAAACATTGATGAATCAATTACGTTTATTAATAATAGTATTTTATACTGCAGAGTTAATCATCAGCTTGAAGTACAAACCGTTTCTTCTACACTCCCTAATAATTGGCAAAACCACCAAAATTGCAGCTATAAATATGGTAGATTACATTCATTGTACAAATAATAAAAGGAATAAGTGCATAACGTAGGTACTAGTGTTCATGTTAATAGCTTCTAGGAACGTTTTGGGTTTTATCACTGGTGTTCGGCCAAGGCACCGACTTGCCGAGGTATTGGGGGCAGGGGCCAATGACGTGTTTCGCATGGCACCGACTGTAACCGCTGCCAAACTACCAGATCGATAGAACATTAGCGTTGTGCCCACTAAATCTGCAGGAGCGATCAGCGATAGCGGATAACTATTGTAAAGACAATATACATAATAGAATCTATGTACGTAATATAGAAAAACGTATCTAAGTGATTAGTTCTTACAAGTTAATGAAGTTGGTAAAAATATTGTAAAGTCAGTGTTACACTACGGTTTGTTTAAAGACAATAAGTGTTGGTAGATCTGTCCATTACGTCCATTGGTCAATTGGCCCACATTTTCGAGACATTGGAAAACGATTACGCATTTTTCAATTGGCCAACGAGGTGACCTATTTTCGGACAAATAACCCGTAAAATACAGAAACATGGGAATGTTTATTTCTACTGCTTTCCCATTGGCAGCAATGCGGATTACGTTTTAACGGCTTACACGATTTTTATTTTACGATAAATGCTCGAATTCACTTACTTTGATTTTGTTTTATATTTTTTGTGTTCAATGTTGATGTATATAGGTATATGTTGAGCTAATTCTCGAGTGTTGATCGAATAAGGTTAAATTAAATTATTCACCAGTTCAATAAACTAGCTGTTAGTTAAAGGCAACAGTTATTCATGACCAAAGTATTCAACACACATACATAACAATTTAAAACATAAGTTGTCACGTCTAGAGGATTCGAGTAGGTACTTTATAAAAGCAATACTTTGGCACAGATGCCTGATGTCTGATGTCTTCAACAAACATTCGTACGAGACATTTTCTGCAGCGCTGGCGTATAACTCAACTTATGCTAGTTTTATGGAATACATTTTGCCATATGAACGTAACGAGTCGCCGCGTGTTTTATGGCCCAAACTAGGGTTGCCAAATCAAAAATCAGAGTACGCACTAACTTGTTAATTTGACTGGGTATTTTTTTGCTTCATTAAGCTTTAGTGATTTTTAAATAGGATTTCTTTGTTAGCACTCAATCATTTAATGTTTTATGTGCAGCTATTTCGGTACAAAAAGTACATGCTAGAAGTAAAGAAAACGTATTCCAAAGCAGATGTTTAATAAAGCAACCCTTCTCTCAATAATTCTGTATCCCTGTCGACGGGGCCCTAAGGGTGGGTTTATGCGAACTGTTTTTATTGCGCCAGACGATACACGCTGTCACAGCAGAACCTTTTTTGTTCGTAGGCCATGATGTAGGGAAATCAACTTACAACCCGCGGCCATTTTGAATCACAAAGGCTAGTTTGAATAATGTTTTGCTCGAATGCAAGTTTTGGTGCAGTTATTTAAATTTTATGTCGTTTATGGGATTAGCCTAGTTACATGGCGTCGTCGTCTTGTTTAGTTTTCGGTTGATTGATTATTGTAACTTTGAATAACTTCCTTATCAAAGGATTGCAGTCGGAGATAGTATATCTATGGGGGTGCGATTAGCTGATGATGTTGATACAGACATCGATACTTTTCCTCCTCGAAACTATCTTCAAAACCTATTGCTAAATTTGCCATAAATCCCCACTGCAGTAATTTACCGAGGGAAGTGAAAACCATCGTTTTTTTTCTTCTCTTATAATTATTCTGATTTACTTCGTGGCGGGAACTAAGACAGTTATTCATGTCCCGATGAGTGTTCCGGTGTTTTCATGGTTGTATCTACTGTAGATCCTGGCTTACAGGAGTTGCAGCGGTTTTGGGAGGGTGCGGCAGGTTTAACACATTAAAAAAAATCCCCACGCTTGGCGAACGGGCTACAGACGGAAACTTAAAAGGTTCAAGTTATTACTGTACTGTATCTAAAAGAGAAAATATTACATTAACATACCTACTGCTCTTATAAATAGATCTTACAACGTACTTTATATTGCTAGAATAAATTGAAGTCGCAGTAGAATAACACTGAGAAAGTTACATTGAAGGAAATAATATTATCCATTCCAAGAAATGCAAGAGAAATAACAGCTAGTATTTATTCATCGAATGAAATGTCCACTAGTACGGGGATTAATAGAAAATATCAACTTTATGTATGGTTCTCGTCGGGTCCACGAGTTTAATTTACTCTACTCGTTCCAATTAAAACCAAGGTATAAGCATATTACGAAATATCGGACTTCATTTCATATCATTACAATCTTAACAATTAAACTTAGGCCCTTCTGCTAGACAGTCCCCATAAACACATTAAATAACCTTCTTTAAAAAATGTCATGTAGGATAAGTTTAACAATATAAAACTGAAAGCTAAAATGATTGAGTCGACGTTTTAATCAAATTTACTTTGTCTCGTATTTCTAAAGAGCAATCTACAAACACTCTATATTATACGGATCCTTCGCAGAAAACTTGTTATTACCAAGATTACAAGCCAATTTCCTTTCAAGATATATGTCCCTTACATCAAATTATGTTTTATCCTTCTTCATGAGGGACATAAAACATGTGTTTATTTTCCGCACAGACTTTTTGCTCTCTTTCCCCCAAATACAGTAAACATAAGCATCTCACATTATTAATTATATTAATGCAGTCACAATTTACTTGTTGTTTAATATCCCCAGGGCCAACGAAATCTTTCCTTTCAAAGCAAATGGAATTAACGTAATTCACATTTACAGAATTCGAACCCTTTCAGTGTACTTAAAATAGAACCTTTCAACTCTCCAACCGAAATTAAAACTTAAATTTTCATTGCGAAGATATAATTTTGTATGATATCTTTTATTGTTGAAGAGAGTGGTCGGAGTGACATGCCTTTTGGCCAGACGTCAGTACAGTTCGCCAATTAGCAAGTCTCTCAGGGGGCTCGACTTATATTTAATGAATTTTGCAAAGAATGGGACACTCGAGTTCAGCGGTAATTAAAACCCCATTTATGGAATAGGCGCGAGGGCCACGCTGGAGTGCTCATTCATCTGCCACGGGGAAACAAAAATTGAATATAATAGAAAGCGCCAACTACCGAATCTGACAAGGCCCTGTACGCAGAATAATACAGAACCAATGACATTGTGGTCTGCGCCATTTCTTCTTGAACATTCTTTTGTTTGTTTGAAATGCGCATTTTTGGGCTTCTCCGTCTCAAATAAAAAACTTTTGTTTACTACGCTTACCTATTTAAAAAACGCGTATTATTCTGTATTATTTGACAGCTCGAAGGCCGAACGGAAAAATTCTGATGAAACAGGGTTTGTTAAATGTTGTGGGCAAAATATTCGATTAGAGCTTGGGATGGGTCAACAGTAACACGTGTCGAGAGAGACAGGCCGCCACGGGCTTGTAACGAAACACCTTCGTAACAGGAAAACGTCCGTTTAAAATGTAGGCGTCCGAAAAACACGAAACGAAAATCCATTTCGACGTAGTTTTATAACATTTCTCCTGGTCTTTTCTGACCAAGTTTTGAGGTCGTCACTTAGTCTTAACCCGATTTGGCTGTATGTCAGCACACCCAGCTGCCGTCTGCTTTTTTTTGAGCTGTCAAGCTGTAACTACATAAATTATGTAGATTTGTTTTGTTCATCTGAATACTTAAATGTAAATACGTCATATCCAAAAGAAAATGTCATGAATTTTACAAACTGATCAAAGGGTGGTATTAAAAGACGTTATCCCACGCCTGAATCGTTCCTTTATAGCTTTTAACTTTATTTCAAGATGATTAGAAACAAGAATATAATCTCCCTATTACATAAACATGAAACAAACTACAACTATTTTATATGATTGTGTTAAAAGCCAGCATAAACCTGACAAAACGGCTTTACGTTAGTATTCAGAGGAGATAAATCAACCAAATATGAAGAGTAACTTCCAGTACTTTGGAGAATCTAAATGGAGCTTGTGACCCGATAGTAATATATTGACAAAATACGTTCCGAGGTCGTGAGCGGAGAGTCGACATTTAAAAGTCGTAAACTAAAGGTCAACGTTACGAACGAAAGAGTTAGGTCGATAGACCCTTTGTCCACTACCCTTGCTGGTTCATAGAAAAAAAGGTTATCTAGCTACAGCCATGGGAGTTCATGGATGATTTATGTCGGAACTTTCAATAAGTTCGGCAGGAAAAATCTATTTTCAGTTTTGTTTAGTTTTTTGTCTGTTTTATGCGAAACTTGGAACTACTGCAGTACACAATTTTCGCATGAGATGAGATGAGATGGTATTATATTACTTAAATATTGCGTTTTCGAATGGATTTTTAACGAGAATTATCAGCATAATTTCTTTGTGGTCTCAAAGTTTAGTTTTGCATAAGCACGAATCTACAAATTCTAAAGATTAGTCTAGTGAGAAACTATTAAACCGATTTTTAGGCTTGTCCAGTGAAAAGTCAAAGCATTTATTTAAATTAATTAGGTACTTTTGAAATTGTCCGTCAGTCTGTTAGTCAGTGAAGATAGGTGCTTGGTGCATATCGCAAGTATAGGCCCATCTATCTAAATACCCCGGAAAGTAACTTGATAACGTTTGCGTAACTTTACGATAAACGAGACTCGTATTCTGCCAGTGCCACTCGTGTTTATATTTGCCCACAAAAATAGGAGTGTCAGAGAAAATTCTAGAGATATGCTTGTTTTGAGATGATGACACACAACGGTTCATGGCAGGTAACATTTTAAAAATAATATGCATTGCATAATGTTACTGGTACACCGCCATGCTTCCACTTCAGTTTCTTTATAAACGCAGCCACTGAAACTTGACAGGTCGCGTTGAAAAAACATAAAAATATGAAAATATCCCATTGTTTCGTGTAAAAAACTTTTTAAGGCAGCACAAGGCTTTGTAGTGAGTTCGTAGCTAAATTCCGAGTAGTATAAAATGGGTTTATTTTCACGATGCTAAGCTGTAATTCGTGCTTGTTTTTGCATTGTGAATTAAGCTTGAAGACTGGTTATATACCTCTAGTAAGATATTTTTTTTTAAAACGTTGCCCCACAATAGGATTTTCTCTTGGATTGTGGGTGCGTTAACAAACATACAATTTTATATACCTACACATACCACCAAGATCCGAAACAACAACTTGTGGATCGCATAAAGAGTTGCTCCGTGCGGGAATCGAACCCGCTACACATTGCACAGCAGCTGGTTGCCCAGCCACCGCACCAACCGTGCAGTCAAATAGATATAAGGAGAAAGTAAGTTTAAAGAAAAAATAAATAAATCACAGACAAGTGACACAGGTACTTTATGCTAAAGAATAGAATTTTAGAAATGGAGTTTTTACCTACTCACTGTAGAGTGTAAGAAATTCTGTTAAGTTGATTAAATAATCATATTTATCATTCACATTGCTTAGGTAATGAATCTATCTTTGGCCATTATCCAACTGGGTTAGGATCCGGGGTCAACACTGGTCTTAGCTAAGCACTATGTTCGACTGTTAGTCAGAATTTTACATGAAGCGAATGACCGTTATAACTACACCATCTGTAGCTGGTTTGGGTGGTACAACAAGATGTTCTGTCTATACGACATCCTTGGTCAGACCTTGAGACTTCTAACTATACATAGTAATTGCCATAGATGTTAGACGACGAGTTCGATGAGCTTAAAGTCTGTGTTCTAGCATGAATTTGTCAAAATGTGATATGTACTAGTACCTACATCCTTGCTTAGTGCTTGTTATATTAGGTATCCGTGTTAATGAGTATTATTTTATTGAACAAATTTTTTGCAACGGTAAATACCTAAAATACCTAACCAAATTTAATGAAGGGTTTTAGTTAAAAAGTCTAATTAATATGTAATACAAAACAAAAATATGTTATCGGGTCAGTTAACACCAATGATTAATTCTATATTACCTAAAATAGAACGAACTGACAGCAATTTGTCGAGTAGCATGTTTAACAAATAAACGTTCGTAATTTAAAATGAATGACAAATTAGTTCATTAATTTTGAATATTCATTCACTATCACTAATTTGTTTACGGCCAGTTTCACAGTTCAGCATTTAATAAATAAATTAAAAGTGTAACTAAATTCGTAGGTTTTGAGTTATAACTAAATGCCATTCGTCACAGATAGATAAAGGTGGAAATTTTCTAAATATGATTCCCATGTAATAGGGGTGAACTTATTACCATAACTTATTACCATACACCAAGCGTTGTGCTCGTTTCTTGTTTGCTAATGGTTGTAAAATTAAAAAAAAATTAATACTTTGCCTGGCAATCGACCCATTGCTTGGTAGTCGGCTAAAAAGGCAGAGTACATCACAATGAAAACCTACAATTCAAATAAAATACCGAACATTATTCGTTCACGTTGTAACCAGAAGTTTCGTGACCATATTTTAACGCGAGAATGCTAATGTTTTACCTCATTAGTACAGTAAAAAGGTTTTATTGCTACATTTTTTTGTGGAAAGGCGGAGTTTTAAACACTGGCTGAATCGAATCGATAGTAGAATTAAAAGTAAAACGAAGTTAGTTGTTCTGAATTTAAACAGTTCAATAAAAATATATATTTTTTTTTTATTTTCGTCTATCCTTTGTTTTTTGGTAACCTAGCGAAACCTAAATAAGCGGAGTCTATGGTTATTTTAATAATAATAATTATATGGGCATAATAATAACACTTATAGGTACCTATTCAACAGGTTCACAACTTTAAAATAACTAACCGTAGACGTTTTCTAACACAGTTTTTCATTTTCAAAGACATTATAGACGTTTTCTAGAATTTTGTAAACAAAAAATCAATGAACTCTATCTGAAGACCTATAGAAAAGTAGAAGAAAATGCTGATTAAACAAAATCCATACCTTTCCTCATAGTTGTATCCTTCTTAAACCTGAAACAAAAAAAAATAATTTATTAATACTTATAAAGTTATAACAATAACAGCTTGCGAACAATGACTTGAATAATTATTTGTTTTCGTCTGCCATTTTGGGAAGACGGAACAAAGTTATAGATATTGTCACAGATACCAAGTTTGATCGTAAACATACATGTACGTCGGAGGAAATATCGGTGAAAACTGGGCGAATAATGGAGAATATAATATGTGGAGCAATCGAGAACAACATCATAAAGGGGTGTTCCAAAAACTAGGAACTAAAAACCAAACGAAACCAACCCTATAAATACAACATTGTTAGTAAGAACACCGACCGTTGTCTCATATTGAAAAATAGGGTTGCAAATTACCATGTCTTCGTAACCAAAAAACAGTTTTCATATGCAATAAAAACAGAAATTAGCCTACATAATATTCTAAACCTCTTTTTATCGCATGTAAATACGGAATAAATAAGAATATCATACATTATTTATGAATGAAAGTTTGCCCCAATTTTCTTTTAACGCATGCCAGGGGCGTCAAGCAAGAGCTGCGCTTTAAATTGAGATGCAAATCTAGCGTCTAGTGGCGTAGACGATATTGAAAGCGCTGTAAAGTGAGTGTTGAGAGGGCAATTCAGCGCTTTGTGCTTCAAGTTTGCGTTACCAGAACTCCAGTGCGACACTTCCCTTACATAAATTCAGTTTTGGTGTATCTGGGTTAAGTTTCTGAAGGCATTTAGGCAAATGTAGTAGCTGTATACTTGTAAGCAAGATGACTTAAGATATTTAAGCTGAGTTGATAACACGTTTGAGGTAATAACAGATCGGTGAATAGTAGTCAACTCACTTGTTTAATTAAGCCTTTCACTGCCAACAGAAAACTGATGAAAGGCAGTTCCTAGGCAAATCCTCCACTAACGTCGGTAACCGGTGACCCCCACGGCGTTTAATGTGTTAAACTATGCAATATTACACAGTTGAAAAAGCCACAAAGTGTAATAAAGTTCCCTATTTAGTACAAATACAGTGTTCGACGCATGACAACCTTACTCACAACACGGTTTGGTATACACTTTTCAACCTAATTACTAAAAACACAGGGTTTAAAATGGTCAAATGCCAACAAATTTGAGCACCTACGTCACTTGAATTCCTTTATCATAATTGGTGTGCCACAATCGATCGCTCCAAGAGATTTAATACTGAGGTGTAATTGACGGAAAATTTGTCGAAATCTAATTTGAGTTTGAAGCTTTCGAAGTGAGAAATGTTTCCTTGTTAAGCCGAATGAATGCTAAGTGATTTATGTGAAGTTGAACTGTAAATAGTAGTTAGGTATTTGTCTTCGTTAGACTAGTCAAATAGACTAGTAGAGCAACTGGTATCGAATATCGATGTATGCCATACTTTGGTTGGTATTTAATAGAATTTAAGTAAAGTTTTCAACATAGAGGTTGTCATGGCAACAGCAACAAATGTTTTAATAACAATGTTGTTATGACGAACATAAACTACCTACTTAGATTTTACTAACCTTTTACATGAAATAAAATACATCTCATGTAAAAGGTTAGTAAAATCTGTCTGAACTTTAAAAGAGACAATGTCCTCTGTGTTTGTTTCGGCGTTTCTTCTCAGAGTAGTCAGTTAGGAAATGCCGGCGATCAGTTAAAAATTAACGTGTGAAAATGTTACTATGTAACCAATCGGAAGCAGAAATAAATATAATTTTATTTCTTCCCAAAAAGTTGCAGATACCTCGTTTTGATAGGAAGCTTACAAAGTCACCAAGTATCACCTGGTTTCTGGAAGTTAGATAATCTATATTAATTTGATACAAAGAATCCACAAGCAAACTCGAAAAATCAAACGAAATTCGACCTTCTACTTAAACCTCAACATACTAATTACATCGATAAATAATTACTTCTGAACCCAAAGTCCTCCTAGGTAGATATCCCCGTAGGCGCTGATATCAAACGTTTCTGGGACGATTACGTTGAACAAGCTCCCTCCTTCGCCGGTCAACCACCCCGACCGTTCTAATTGCATACCCGAAACGCCTACCAAACAGCTTTATTAAAATGTAATAATATTCAATAATCTTATAACGGCTTTATTAATATTCTAATAACATTTTAGAGCGATTCTTGACTGGCTCGTTGGTTGAGTTGCCGCAATTGTGGCAATAAGGAGTCTCGCAATCGATTCCTGGATCGTATCATATTTATTGAGGCTTTTATGGTTTCTCGAAAATGTCTCCAGTAAATACTAATAACGAATTATTTGTAAAATTAAATCAAGTTTTACTGTAGGTAATGAAATAACTGGTAATTAGAGTATCTAGAACTAAGAGCAACCTTATTAGATTATCTGGACCTGACAAATGATCAAATAAAACTGTAGCAATTAGGTATAAGTATGTAGTGTAGAGTGTAGGTGAAAAACACTGTTCCTTATCTCAATCATAATAAAGTTACAAATCACGTCAATTCAAGAAACTAAAAGCGATTCTAGGCCTGTTTAAAGTAAGGTTAGCGGTTGTTTGGAAGCAAATTCGAGGCCCTAAGTACACAATAGATGTGGTGTTGAACTATATATTAAACTTGTAAGATGTGGTTGAATATAGATTAGTTAGGATCACCCTTTGTGTCACACTCGACCAGCCATACTATTTCAATTAAGCTTATAGCCGAAGTATCCGTCAGGTAGATACGGTCGCCAGTAGGTCAACCTATCCTTCTCTTAAATTTCATTATTACATTTTTATCTTTATTGTATTGACTAGCTTCTGCCCGCGACTTCGTACGCGCAATCACGTTTTCTACCGTTCCCGTAGGATTTTCAGGACTGTTATAAGAACCTTCTCCTGACGATAATAAACACAACATAAAAAAAATCAGCCAAATCGGTCTAGCCGTTCTCAAGTTATGGCGTGACAACGAGAAACGGGTTTCATTTATATACATATATAGATAAATATAAAGTGGAAACTCCAATGAATAAAAGTGATAGATTGGAGTAGGTTGGTTACAGGCGACGGTACCATCGATCTTAGTGGCCCGGTGGACTGTAGTACTAGAATGTTCTTTTTTGTTAATGATAAAGTTTTAGTAACACTGACATTGGCACATCACTTATTAGAATATACCTGTGTTTACTTAATTAACATTTAAATATGTTTTATGTAAGGTACGTTCACACTTAAAAACGGATATAAATGAATAGTCAACAATCATTTAGTCGATTGTACGCGCATTTTGTAAGTACATAACAAGAATTCATTCACAAAGTATGCATTCATTAAACTAAGCTTATTACTTATTCAAAAAGGATTAAATAAAACCTTTTAAGATAATAATACTGTTGGCGTGTAATTAAAACGAATGCTGCGAAAACAATACGAGAAAAGTAAATCTTAATGGCTTTAACATGGCTTTTTTGAAGTCCAAGAATTAATATGGGAGGATAGCGTTTTGCTAACAAAACATAGATTTTTGTTTGATTAAGGAATGAGTATTTTTGTAATATAGGTTTATGTTAAATTACTATGGATATACCTACAGCAAAAATAAAAGAGCAAAGTTATACATATTACCCAGTAACACATTTTAATGAACTAAGAAAAAAAACAAATATATACCTAGATTAAATATAATTATGATACGATGTTGTTTCTTTTTACGCACAAAAGCAAGAGATTGACATGATAGAAATGGTTTAGTATTGATTGTATATCTACAGTATGTATTAGTAAATAGATTATGTAGTGATAAAAACTAATATATGAGTGGATATCATTTTTATCAAATCACATAGACTCGAGTTTGGTTAGAAAAATTTAATATTCGTCTCAACAAACTATGAAACCCAGGACGTCTAGACTTGGCAATGAACCAAATCGGTACTTTAAGTGGAAAATATGTGATGAAAGAGGTATTTTACAAACTTTAAACCGCTCATAACTTGTACCACGGGCCATTTTAATTCTCGCCAATAGTGTGGCGTTGTTCGGCGGCCATATTGTCGGTTGGGCCTGAGAAATTTTAATATTTGCGACTACCCGCTATCCAGATTAGGCTTTGTTAGTGGTGGCGGTAGTCTAACACTTTATTCGTTGTTTTACCCTCGTAGGGAAATTAAAAAGCGTGGCTTTTGTAAGAAAAGTGTTTGTATTGTTTTATTGTTCTTTATGGTGTGGGTAATAGAGTTCATTGTGGTTTAATGTAAATATTTAGAGGGAATTTAGGATTACAAAATGAAAATTAGTTTTTGTAATAAGCAATATGTTTATAACTATGGTTTTTGAAGGAGGAGTCGAATCACAGATTTCGAAACCATTAATTAATCAGTAAATTTTTTACACACTTAAACCGAAAAAAATATCCAACAATTCCTAGTCCGACCCAGGAATCGCGCCCGACATTGTATACAAAAGCCGCGCTTACAATCACTCGACTAACGAAGCAGTCTTTGTTAACTCAGTAACCAATTCTACCACAATCTTATTCTTTAATTAATTCAAAACTCAATTTAAACTGAATTATACTCCCAAACTACATCTTAAAACACAAAATTAAATGACAAACTCAAAACTAATTGATTGAAAGCAACTGTCTTAATTCTACCTTAGGACTACGCAACTAAATTATTCTTATTAAAAACTAGCGGACCCTAAACCTTAGTACCGCCTAAAATTTTTTTCTCACCTTTTAAACCTTTCCTGGACTTCCACGAACATTTCAAGACCAAAATTATCCAAATCAGTACAGCAGTTCTCGAGTTTTATCGAGACTAACGAATGGAAATTTTTATTTTTATTTATATACTAGCTGTTACCCGCGACTTCGTCCGCGTGAAATAGCGACTTCTGTATAAATTGGGTTTTTTAATTAGTCTTTGTCAAGGTATATTCTACGGCTGTACAACTGGAACAAATATCATCACAATCGATTCAGTACCTAGGTTATATTTATTGAGAAATGAATTTATTTTCGTGGTTTCTAA